GTGCCGGCCTCCCCGGGGGGAAGGGGGCAACTCCGACTGAGAGGCCAAAGGCCTCTGGATTTGAAAGGAGCCTCACCTGGAAGAATCTGGGAAGGATTAAGACATCAACATTGCTTCCCAACAAAAGTCCACTTTGAAAACGACAGGAACCCCTGAATTTGGGCGAGGGAATGCTCTGCCAGCTGGGGATTGTGCCTTGCCCCCGAGTCGTTCACAGCAGCTTGGAAAGCAGAACTCTTTCCGCAAGCATCTCCAGGAGGCCTGAAAGGCCCACCTGCATGGCGCTGGCAGGCCCGTGCCGGATAGTCACGCAAAGCTAATTTTGCCCACGCGCCCCTTTGAGCAGCTGCTCGGGATGCGACAACTGCAGGTGGACAATTATTTGCTGAAAATCAGAGGGTGTCACCTGGCCAATGGAGAAAGGACAGAGCAAAAGGTGGCAATCAAATTCTCACACAAGTTGGAGGCGTTAATAAGAGACTAACCGCCTTCAGACATGATGGGGAGCTCCCCCCCTCGCCCTGTTCCCCTGAAAGACAAGCAGGAAACTGGCTGCAAGACCAGCCAGGAAACCGAGCCGCTGGCCACTTTCTGAGTCGCTCTGCATCTTCCAGGTGCTGCGGCAGGTAGCGGAGGGGGAAACACTGAGCTTCAGACCCGAAGTGACCCAAAACGGGTATTACTACTAGTATTATTTTTCCTAATTAAATATTTCCTCCCACTGCATGAAGCACTCTTGAAGCAACTAATGAAAAACAGAAATCCGTGATTAATTTAACCAGGGAAGGGTGTCCAAGACGGGCCGTGCCGTGCACAATGATACATCCAAAAGTAAATATCCGAAAATGTAAACGAAGGACAAGGTGATGGGAAAAAGGCTTGTCTGCAAATGCAGAAAAGGACCCGAACAACATGTGGCCTCAGATAAGCGCCACAAAACGGCTCACAACAACCAGGCCATCACTGCGACCGAATGCTTGGGGAAACAGGAAGAAGCCTGTTTTGGCTGTCCAAAAACGCCGGGCTATCACAGGTTTACTTTGCTCCCCTTCCACCTGCCCCCCCAACCTGGGGCCCTCCAGCTATGTCCCAGGCTCAGTGCCAGCACATCTGGGGGGCCTACGCAGGTGAGGCTCTGCTGACAGCTTCGGCTGAGAAGGTGAGAGTCGCTTTACTGGGTCAGGCCGAGGGGTTGGGATGCGTGTGGGGCTCAGGTGGGCCCAGTGTGGGAGATCTGGGTTTGGAGGAGACAGGAACATGGGGCAGTTGCAAAAGGGGAGAAAAGCTCTCTTGCCTTCGTCTTCCTTCTCCTCCTGCAAAAGAGACGGATAAACCTCCCAAAACCGCCGTCGGTATTCATGCCACACACCCCTGTACAGACTGGGCCGGGATATCCCCTCTTCCACTTTGCTTTGGGGAAAGAACCGACAGCACAGAGAGGATGCTGCAGGGATAGTTCCATGCTGGCTGTGGCTGATGGGACCCGTAGCCCAACACCTCAGGAGGACACCACGTCTGGAAGGGTGGGGTAGGGTGCAACTTTTCAAAGGCACCTCCTTGGAGGAGCTGGGGGGAAGCAGCTCTGCGAACGGCTACTGGGCTCTCGCCGCAAGCGTCAGCAGGCGCCCAAGGGATGGAGAAGTGGCCACGAGCCAAGCGACGTCAGAGGGAAGCCGTTCCCCCAGAATCTCCCTCCTAGCGGCCCGCGAGCACGTTCCCAGCAGCCAGAAATGTTCTGGCGCTGAGTAAAGAAACAGGGGGTCACGCTGACCCAGATCAAAACCTGGCACGGGGAGGGGGGCATGACTCCAGAGCGGCCAACGGGGCCGGTGGGATCGCAGAGCCGAGCGGCCCGGGCGAGCACTTGCAAGGCATGCTGGGGCAAACCTGTGAGCCGGCGCCGAACTTGGGGGCATGTCCCGGGCGACTCTCTGTAGCCAAGAGTGGCTCTGGGGCAGGACTGGCTGCCCAACTGCACAAGCAGCCCTGACGCAACACGGCTGCTGGCAGGGCTACACACGCAGTGCGGCTCATGAGGACTAGCCACCCACGCCCTGTCTTTCTGGTCACCTCTGGGCTTGCTTTCCACCTGCCCAGGCAAGGCAGGCAGCCCTCCCAGGTGGTCTGGACAACCATCCCCAGAACCTTGACGATGGGTCGTGTGTACTGAGGCTTAGGGGAGTCACGGCCAGGAACGTCTGGAAGGCACCTGGCCGTGTCCCCCCGCTCTGGTGGTCTCGGAGCGTGCCGGCTGCGCACTCTCTTTCCCCGGAAGCCCCCTGCCCACGCCCTGCCTTACGCTCCGACAGCAGCCCAGCGATCTGCAGCCCCAGCTTGCACGGCTCCCACCCTGCAGACCTCCTGGAGCCCTGGCTGGCTCCACAGCGGAAGTCCTGAGGCCTTGGAGGCTCCGGCCATGGAAGCAGGGATTCACAGCCGCCCCGGCCTGCGCTTCCCACAAGGTCTCCAAAGTCCAGGAGCACCTGCGGGGCAACAGGTGCTTTGCCTCCGGTCCGTCCCGGGATGAGAGCAAAGGAGACTTACCTTGCCTGACCTGAACCTTCTGCATGTTACGCTGGCTTGAACTCTCTCAAATCTGGGGATGGGAGAGCCTTAAGAAAGACTACAAGACATTTTATTCCAATTATCTGGGGGAAGGATGGACCCAAACAGTCCATTCGTGCTCTCCCGCACAGGCCGAGATTCCCGTCACGTGGAGCCAGATCCGTGGTTCAGGCACCGGAGAGCGATCTGTGTTGACACCATTCCTTAAATTATATGTTAAATGTCGCGACCGAAAGGACAAAGTGGCTGAAACGGGGACGACGTGAGCCACAATCTGTGCTGCCCGCCCGCCCGCCCGTCCCTGCAAATCTTTCCCCCGAGGCTGACACTTCTCATCTCGCCTCACTTAGAGCGGGTATTTATGGGTGTCAGCACTGACCTCTCCCCCCGGCTCGCCCGCCCTCGCCGCACACCGCCCTCCATAAACAAGCGGCCCCCCCAAATCCACCTCTGCCCTGGCGGTGTTATTAGTCTCGCCTCCGAAGGCCAGCGAAGCCTGTAACTCTCCAGCGGCTGACACCGCAGGAACGGCGGAGCATCACTCTTGCCGGCAGATTGGCAGGCAGGCCTCTCATTTGTCAGCCCTGGACTGACAGAATTACTAGCCCTCAAATGAAACGATATATCTGGGAAGGCAAATCAGTCTCCACTCCAGCTGGCCCCGGGGGTGGCCAGAGCAGCCTGCCTGAAACCGGTCCGAGCGGCCAGTCCGCCCGGTGGCGCCGCCGCCCATGTCTCCCACAGCCAACACTGAACCCTGGGAGCGGCTTCTGCACAGCACGGCCAGCTTGGGCCCCCTCCGGCCCAGGGCTGCCGGTACCAGCGGCCCCCCAGGGATCCCGGGAGGAGTCGAACCCAGGGCCTGCATGTGGAAAGTGGGTGCGCACCCACAGAGCGACAGCCATGGAAACGCCCCACCCTCCAGGGCCCGGGCATTTGGGGCCATTTCTGAGCCTGGGGGCTGGGAGAGGCTGCAGACCCCCAAAGAAGACTGACCGTGGGCCAGGGAAAAGGGGGAAGCAGCCCCCTTGCAAAGCCCCCCCCCCCCCCAGCATGAAGCAATCTCCCTATGCAACTTCCTTGAACTTGTGCTCTCTGGATGCTGGGCATTGTTTGGGGAAGGCCGCTATGTCATCCATCTCAGAAAAGCATCTATTTATTATGTTTATATCCCACCACGCTTCCACTGTGGAACCCGAGGCGGCGGCTTGTGGTTCCCGGGCCATCTCCCCTCCAGCATGGTGGAAGCCTTCCGTGCCCTTGGGCCAAGCGCAGCTTCCCCCTCTATACCAGGGGAAGCAACCAGCTATTTCTGGACTTCGCCTCCCCTCAGCCCCAGGCGGCACGGCCAGTGACTGGGATGGTGGGAGCTTTAGCCCCCCCCCCGAAACATCTGCAGAATACTAGGCTGCATATACTGACCTAATGGATATCTAACAGAGTACCGAACGCACAGCAGCAACAGATCAGCTCTCGCCCCGCGGTCTCACTGTCCCACCGCAGGAGTGCTGGCGAGCTCCGAGCCCCCAATCCTGAAAACGGGGGCTGGACCTGAAGCCCCTTCCTCTCCCGCCACAGCCAGTCTGAGCCATTCTGGAGGCACCGTGCGCCCAGAAATGAACACGAGGTTCGGGGAGGGTCTGGGGCTGAGGAGGAGGCCCCCAGGTTTGGCACGAGGGGAGACCGTCTGCTGTCGGAATCTGCCAGTGACCCAAATCGCAGCTGCGCCCCTTTGGCCAGGCCACCAATGAGCTGCGCCCATCGATTGCCGCGGGACACGAATTTAGAGGGACGCGATAAAAGCCACACGGCTGGCAGCAAGAGTTCAATTAACGTCCCCTTTCAACGTCATTGCCTTATTACGGTGCTGGGAAGGATGGATGGGAACTGCGGGGATGATGGGGAAAGAGAGCCCTGTCGTTCTGCTAGGTTAGCCAGCCAAAGGGGGCCGCTTGGTAACAGACCCCCCCCCACCGCCCTTCACAGTGTCAAAAGGTGGCCAACGCCTGTGATTTAAGAGGTGGCTTTCTCTCAGTGCAAGATGGTCTGGGGAAGGGGATGCTACGCACAGCCAGGTCTGTTCCTCTCTGGTCATCGTTTAAAACGGGGGGGGGATTGTGCCTCCCCCCAGGTGTGTGGGGCAGTGACTCCCAGAAAGACGCAAGTTATACCTCCGAAGGGCACCAGGTTGGAGAAGCCAGGCCACGCTCAGGTGAGGGGGGGGGGAGTTGCAAGCCAAAGCATGTGGAGGCAAGCACCCACGGGCCGACCCTCCACCTCGGGGCGGCACTCTGCACGTGCCCCGAGACACTTCCCCAGCTCCCCCCGGCCAGAGGCCTCCCAGGAGGCGCTCCCGCTCCTCGCCCCCCGGGCGCGTGGCCAGCGGAAAGGGGCCTCCGCCGGGGAAAGGGGCGCCCGCCTCCTCTGCCGCTCACCTCCAGCTCCTTGAAGAAGACGCAGCTGCGCGCCCACTCCACGATGGCGAAGAGCGTCTGGTCGGCCATCTTGCACATGAGGCCGAAGGTGCTGAGCTTGTCGTGGCGGCTCTTGCCCTGCTCCTGCTGCAGGCAGGCCAGGATGCGCCCCTTCACCTGCGCCTCGTCCGGCTCCAGCTGCAGCAGCTTCAGGATCACGTCGGGGACGTCCGGCGCGGCGGGCGGGGAGCCGCCGCCGGCGCCGGGGTAGGGCTCCGGGTAGGGGTACGCCGGCGCCGCCTCGTGGGGATGCGCCGCGTACGGGTCCGGGAACTCGGACTTGATGGCGCGGCTGGCGAAGGGCGGGTAGTGGTAGCTGGCCAGCGCCCCCTGCCCGGCGGGCAGCGGCAGCGCCAGCGCCGGCGTGCCGTAGGGGCCGCGCTCGTAGTCGACGGGCGTCATCGCGGCGGCGCTGGGCGGCGGCAGCGCCTTGGCCGCGCCGGGGTGGTGCGCCAGGCCGTGCAGCGCGGCGGGCAGGCCGCTGTAGTCCGCCGCCTGCACCGGGGACACGATGGGCGGCGGCGGCGGCGGCGGCGGCGGCGGCGGGGGCGCCGTCTCCAGCTTGAAGCCGTTGGCGCGGATCAGCGCCTTCTTCTGCTGCTTCAGCGCCCGGTCGCGCTTGTACATCGGGCCGAACTTGTTGCGCCCGCCTCGCATGCGGTCGGCGCGCACGGCTGCGGGCGAGAGGAGAGGAGAGGAGAGGAAGAGGGGAGGGGAGGGGAGAGGGGGCGACGCGCTCCTCGGCGCCCAGCCCGCGCCGCCGCCCCGCGCCTGGGCCCGGCTCTCCGGCGAGCTCGTCGGGGCGGCTGCGGGACCCGCTTGCCCAGAGCCCACAGGCGGGGCCTGGCGCACCCCACGCTCCCGGGGCTCCTCGTGCAGCGCGGGCATGGGGCAGGGTGCCGGGCGCCCCCTCGCCTGTCCGGGCCCGAGGCGCCTTCCCGCGGAGGGCCCCATGCCGCGCTCTCTTCCCTCGAGGCCCTTCAAGGCGCCGGTAGCCGTCTTCACCCGGGCGCCCCACGGCAGCGTTGCAGTACAACTCCCAGCATGCCCCACTCGGCCCAGGGGCATGCTGGGAGTTGTACTCCAGCACAGCTGCAAGGCACCCGATGGGAGGAGGCCGGCTGTTTGGATTCCGCAATGCTGGAGCGCACCTGCCCTGCAGGTAGGGCTCCACTGTGTGAACAGAACCTGGGCTGGCCAGAACTTTCGCGATGTCCTTAGGGGTGGGAAGAAGAAGGAGGCCTCAAGCACAGCCTCCCCTTTTCTCATTCTTGGTTGCTTTTGTAAAAAAATATATATATATAGTTCCACATGGACTTCCTCCACGGAGACCCAGGTTCAAATCTTGCGCTAGCTGGGAGAGCCAGGGCAGTGATCAGAGCACTGGACAGGGGCTGCGTTGCCATCCACTGTCCCCGGGGACTTCGGGCCAGTGGGTCTCGTCCTAGCCTACCTCGCAGGGTTGCTCGGCATACTGCCACCAACCTCCACCCCCTTCTCTTCTTCCTCCAAATCAGTCGTTTTAGGCTGGCTTTCTTTGCTTTGGTTTTGAAAGATCTCTTGAGAAATAAGAGCTTTCTCATTTCTTTCGTGAGTTCTGCCTATGCAGAAAAGCAAAACTCCTGAGTTCTCTGAGAAAAAGGCAGAGGGCGGACAGGCTGGCTGGGGCATCATTTTCTGCGCCCCCCCCCCCCCCCGTGATCCCTGGTGGATAAGCCAGCAGAAGCCTTGTCCCACTTTCCGTAGTTAGATGGTGTCAAGGCCAACCGGAGCCCTGTGCCAGCTGCGAAAGCTGTTAACCCGCCACCCCTCTGGCTTGCTCTCAGTTGTGTGAACGTGATCGTGTTTACCAAGAGGAAAGCGTACGGCACACATTCATGGAAGAAACGCGCCGTAGCCCTAAGAAAAAATCCATATTCATGTGATCCCTTTATCAGGTCAGCTCAAAGCAAGCCCCGAGATCTCTTCAGACAAAGTGTTAGAAAAGGCAGGATGGGGGCCGGCTCCCTTTTCTATGTGCCGCAAAACGGATCAAACGCAGTTGCCTATTTTGTGTTCCACGAAACTGGGAACCGTCTCATCACCTGCTGGAGCCCAGTTCCATGTTACGGCAAAGCAGCCCTTTTTGCTCTCCTCTCCCCCCCCCCCCGCTTCACTTAAGCATCACACCTTTTGAAACACCTGGCAAGGAGATCTCGAGATCTTGTGTATTTCTGAGTCGATCCAATAAAGGTATTGCTATCATGGGTATCCAGGGCTCTGCCTTAAGTGTGTTTACAAGAATATCGGAAGCCTAACTCTGGCAGTGATGGGAAATGTTCTGGAGTACAGGTCCCATACTCCCTGGCCATTGGCAACCTTACAGGCTGGAGGGAGTTGTGCTCCAAAGAAATGGGGTTGGGGGAGCGCCAGGCTGCCCCCGTGCCAACAGCACGCGGGGCTTCGGGCGGAAATGTGTATCTCCTCCGTCCACGAAGAGCAGGACGCACGAGCCTTCTCTCCCCCTCTCTGACCCCACCGTGGGCTCCATCCGGTCGCGCACTGCGCGCCCAGGGACTCTGAGCCAGCCTGGCACCTCCAGTGCCTGACAGGAGGGGGGTGGCGGCTGCTTTCGGCGCCGCTGGGGAGATGCGAGGGGGAGTCCTCCCGAGCATATGCAGAGCGCTGCTCTGGAGATGTGGCGGAAGCGCTTCTGGGGCGCGGAGAGAGGCCGCTGTAACGGCACCAGCACCCCGCCGGTTCCTGCCTCCGCTTCCCGAGAAGGATGCGCTTTCGCTTTCGCTTCCCTCAGCCGGCCAGCAGCATCCCCGGGCGCCGCACCGCCCGAGCACCTGGCCAGGCCGGCAGAGCCCTCTGGGCAGCCAGAAACATCGCCTCCCGCTTCGGCGGGGTGGGGGGCAAGGGGGGCGCCCCTCAGCTTTCCTGGGAGGTCGAGCCGCGCAAAGCACCTTTGCGGAGAAGTGCAAACCGCTTGGTAACGGTGAGGAAAGCTGCGCATTGTATGCGCTCGAGAATACGGTCGCCCTAATTGAATTCAATTGAATTCGTTAAAGCTTTTATAGGCCGCCCCATGACTAGCGTCTCGGGACGGTTCACAACAGGCACAGATTTAAAAGCAACCCTTATTTCTTCGCTGATAAAGGGCTGATCGCCATTACGGCATTCATGGTATATTAAGATGAATAATCATGCATTGCTAGCAGGAATGTGGGATCCAGCCAGCATTCAGCACAATTCTTTTCTTCTTGTTACGGGGACCGCCTTTAATTGCGCCTCAGCGGGTCTACCTGGGAGCAAGTCCCAGTGAAGCGAATGGAAAGCGCTTTCCGTAAAAGAGAAAGCGCTTTCCGCGCTTCTGCCACGCTGCGCCTTCCAAACTCGCCCTCTGACGCGGGGACAGGAGGTGCATTCGCTCCATAAATGCACACGCGCATCTTTAGGGGTTTTGCCCCCGGGGTGGTGGGCGGTGGGTGGCAGAAAATGCGGGAGCGGGGAAGGATTAAGCAGGCAGCCCCTGCGTGGTCGTCTTTCCGCTGCCCGTGCCAGAAGAAACGCGCGCAAAGGTAGAAAGCTCCATCTCGCGGGGTTGTTGGTCGTGGGAAGCGTTAAATGCGCCGGAGGGGGGAATTTGGTCACTAGCGAGCTCCCAGGGGAGGGCCACCACCTCGCCTCTGACACGCAACCGGGAGGGGACGCGCGACTCACCTTCCAGCCTCATGCCTACGGCCAGGCACTTCTGGAAGCGGCAGTAGGGGCACCTCTTGCGCTGCGTCTTGTCGATCTTGCAGTTCTGGCTCTCCGTGCACGTGTAGTGCTTGTTGTTCTGCACGGTCCTCTTGAAGAAGCCCTGCACGGGAGAGGCGGGAGGGGGGACAGGGAAGGCTGAGAGAGGGGAGGAAGGCAGGGCCCCTGGTGTTTCATGGCGGCCGGAGATGCCTCCGCGTCCCTCGACCCCCATCGCATTAGGTTCTGGGGCTCCGCCTGGGGCGTGCGCCCAGGAAGAAAATGCAAGGAGGCACTCCGCATATGCTCAGGAGCTTGCCTGCCCGCCCGCCCTTCTGCCCGGGCGTTCCAGAACAGAGACAGCGGCACCAGCTTTGCTCCGGGGCAGCGCAAGTCCCGTAACACCCAGGAGAGCCAGCCGGGGCTTGCAGGCGTCGCGAGGCCTGTTTATGCCTAAAGAGGCGCAGGAGTGTGCCGCCAATGACCCGCGCGTGTAGAGGAGTAAACGCGCGTGGCGTTATTCCTTCACTGAATCCGTAACGCGATAAACCTGGACCCATCCGGAAGACAGCACCGTTCTAACGAGCTGGTGTGGAGCTCTTAATTGTGCGTGTTTTTGTTTTGGTGGTGAGCCGCCCCGAGGTTTTGTTGCGATGGGGGCGGCATAGAAATGTTTTAAATAAATACAATAAATAAATAATCCATCGATTTGATCGCTGATAGCCGATCAGCCTCCCCGAGACCAAGCACCTCCTAGATGTGCTGCACTACCAGCTCCATCATCCCCACACGCTCTGCCTGATGCTGGGTGGAAACGAAAGATGGTCTAGTCCTGGGCATTTTGGAGGGCACCAGGTTGGAAGAGGCGGGAGTGGATTTCTGGCTCGGGGTTCAAATCCGGGGAGTGAGGGGCTGATCCAGGCAACGGGGTGGGGGGGGTGAGGCTAAGAGCTCGACTTCGGTTAACCCTTTCCTGCCAGCTGTTCCTGGACACGGCAGTGCGAAGGGCATACAGAAGCGATAAACCGCGCAGAGACCAAATCACACCTCAGCCATCATTTCGTACACTGACCGCTCGATCCTTGACTGGCTCCGTCACCCTCCCTTTATCCTCACAGGCCTGCACGGTGGGCTAGCCAGAGGGGCGGCCCGAGGAGACCACCCGGAAGAGCCTCATGGCCGAGGGGGGCTCCCGCCCCCTAAGAATGTCCTGCTTGCCGAACCGCGCAGAGACGCGCGTCCTTCTCTGCCCCACGCCTCTCCCCAAAAGACTTCTGGGCATGACTGAATGCCTTCTGCAGCTGGAGGCTCTCGCAGACGGGTCGGCCTGCCAGCTAGGAGGGCGCTGGCCATATTGACCGGGGCCCATGGAGGTTGTAGTCCAGCCCAAAGGGCTTCAAATATCAGCGATGGGAAACGAAACGACACAAGAAGGAAAGGAAGCCGATGGCTGCTGGCTTCCTCCCTGGCACCTTGACCATGCCCTTCCCAAGCCTTCTGCAGCCTGATGCTCGCCCGATAGGGCAGACTACAATATCCATCATCCCGAATTAGCACGGCCACCATATTCCAGCTATAAGCGATGAGTGCACCGGATCCTACACAGCCGAGAGGTTATAGATCCATAAAACCATGTCATGCTTATAAGTTTGAGGATTATCCATTGCTATGGTTTTAAAAAATCTAGTTTTAATATTTTCTAAGGTCCCCCTCTCTCTCTGCATGTGTATATATTAATTGCTAAACTTCTGATAATATTGAAACTAAATGTTATCATTATCCTTGTTAATTGCACACACGCATTCGAACACTGCAAGCTCGCCCGGCCCTCTGTACATTTCCATGCGCGCTCCGCACCGCGGAGCCCACTTTTATATATCAGGGATGGGTCCTGGAACGCGTGACCTCATCAAGAGAAAAGGGGACCTCTGAGTGTATGCAGAGTGTGCCCTTTCTTCTCAGTACGCCTCCACCCTGGGCACGTGAAAGAGTAGGATACCTAAAAGAGTACGGGCTTCTTTGAGCATGTACAGAGGGCGCAGGATCGTTTCTCCTCCTCCTACAGGGCTGCCCGTTTCTGTCCAACTATCCAAGGATTAAAGTTTAGGGCAGAGAGAGGGGGAACCGAGGGCTTCCCAGTGCTGTTGGGACTCCGGCTCCCATCAGCCCCAGCTGCATGGGATATGGGAGCTTAGCGCTTAGGGGTCCAGCCTCAGCCCCGGTCTCAGCACACCATCCCACGCCCCCCCCCCCCCCGGCTAAGCCCTGGGCCAGCAAACGGAGGCCGGCAGGAAATTCACTTCCTGGGGGGGCGGGCATGTTTCAGCTGCTGCAGGCAGCTCAACCGGGACATGGGGGCGGCTGGAGACGGGGGTTCCTCCGAGCACCCCAGAACCTCTCCCCCAGGGCCCAATTCTCCCCCTCCACACAGGCCTGGACCGAGGCGCCCCCCTCGGTCCACGTTTCAGCTTTGTGCAGCTGCGGCGGCGGCGGGGTTCTCCTTGCGGCCCCCCCACCGGCTCCGGGGCTGCCTCCGCACTGGCCGAGGGGGGCGAGGCCGTCCGGGGGCTGCGGGAAGCCTTGGAGCGCGGCGCGGGGCAGAAGCGAGGCCGCCAGCCAAAGAAAGCGGGGCGGGGGGCTCCCCCGAAATAACTGTCGCTCCTTCCCGGAGCGGAGCGGGGCGGGGGCTGCGCGGTTATTCCCGGGGCACGGAGCCTCCCAACGGGGAGGAACTTCAGCTGGCAACTCCGGCACAATTATTGGCGGGGGCGCGACGCTCCGAGTCCGAAGCGCCCTCTTGCCCGCAGCCCCCAGAGCCGCGGGCTGCCTCCGCCCAGCCGCGCCCTCGCCCTCCTGCGCGCCCCGCGCAGCAAGCGCCCTTCCCGGCGCTTCTCGCGGGGGAAGCCGCGCTGGGCACCCACGAAGGCACGCCGAGGGACGGAGCCGGCCGCCCCCGAGCGCCCCGTCGCCCGGGCGCGGCGCTTTCGTTTTGCGCCCGTCTGCGGAGCCGGCGGCGATTTCGCTTCGCCCGTGCATCGACCGAGGTCTCCCGGCGCTCCCCCTTCAAAGCCCGGCGTGCCCCGCGTTCCGCACCAAATTAAATCAACCATTCCCAGGAGCCCCGGAACGTGTGGATTGCGAGGAAGCTGGAAGAGCGCAGAGGGCCAGCCTTCTCCCAGGCGCGTTTTGCGCGGCTCTCTCTCCCACTCGCTCCGCTCTCCTCCTTCACACGTTTGATTTCTCCACTATTATTCTGTAGTCGTGATGCTTTTGGGGTTGTTCCAGGTTCCCCGCGCCGCGCGCTGGAGACCGCTGACGGGTGCCCAAGGAGGCCGAAAACGGACTTCGCCAACCCCCCGCCCGTTCCGAACCGGAGCGACTTCGAATCGGCGTCCCCCGCGGTATCCCTCGTTTGAACGCGCCCCGTCCGAGAAAGGGCCAGCCTGGAAATCCGGCGGGTCCCTCCCCGGGCGCGTCTTCGAAAGGAACGGAAACGAATCGATGGGGCCGGGCCTGCAGGCTCGGGGCTGGCGCCGGGGTTCGGTCGGCCGGTGGTTCGGTCGCGGCGATTTCCGGGCACGCAGCGCGGAGCCGAGGGACGCCTCCGGTCGCCCCGAAGCCTCGCCGGGCGGATCCCAGGGAGGGCCCCTCGGAGAGCGCGAGGATTCTCGCACGGACCGCGGCGCGCTCCTGGTGGCCGCGAAGGCCGGAGACGCTGGATGCCGCTCGCGCTCTTCCGAGCCTTCCCCCCGAGCGGATCCCGCGGCCTTGGCGAGCGCTCCGCTGCCTCGCAGGCTCCGCGCCGCACTGTCCGCGCGTCCGAGGACTGCCCCCGCTCCGCGCCCCACTGTCCGCGCGTCCGAGGACTGCCCCCGCTCCGCGCCGTGGAGGCGACGCTGCTTCTGAGGAGGCGGCCGCGTGCGGACTCCCGCGGGGGCTCGGCCGCTGCCCTGGAACCCTCCTGGGGCGGGCGTGGATGGGGCGTCGAGGGCGAGGGTACTCGGGCCCTGCCCCGTTGCCCCGCCGCCGCGAAGAGCCCTGGCCGGCCAGTCCTCCGGAGAGCAGAAGCGCCGAACAGAAAACAACCATTCCCGGACTACAGAGCCTATTAGCCGCGGCCCGTGCGGCCGGGACAACGGGAGGGGCAGCCGGCGACAGACGGGGCGGGAAAGGCTGCCCTGGCCGTCCTCCCGCGGGCGCGGGGAGCCCGCCCCAGCCCGGCCGACCGCGGGTCCGCCTTGGGGCGCCTGGTGTGGCCCGCCGGGCGCGCGCGGCGCTTACCTTGCAACTTTCGCAGGTGAGCAGCCCGTAGTGGTAGCCGGAGACCTTGTCCCCGCAGACGGGGCACAGCTCGTCCAGGTCGTCGTCGTACGAGTAATCCATCACCGCCGCGGGGCCTGCGGGAAGGAAAAGAGCCGGGCAGCGCCGGGAGCTCTCCGCGGGCGGGGGAAGCGGCCCGAGGGGGCGGCCGGCGTGGAACCCAAGGACGGACTGGCAGCCCCACGGGCGCGCCGGGAGGGCGGGAGGAGGAGGGAGGGCTGGCGGGAGGTGGGCGGCGGGCAGGGCCGCCTTTATAGCGCGCGGGGGGGGGGGGGCCGTGCGCGCCGTGCGCTTCCCCGCTGCTGCCGTGGCCGCCTTTGCCGACGCTGCTGGGGGCTGCAGGCACGGCGGGGGGATCAAGCCGGCGGGAGGAGGGCACTGGCGAGTGGAGAGCGAGCCCCCCCCCATGTTCGCGGGGTGCAGCCGCGCCCCCCTGCTCGGCCGGGGCTGCAGGAGACCGGCGAGAGAAGGGCCCGTCCAGACCGCACCCCGTCCTGCCCCGCGCACGCCGCTCAGCTCGGGGCTGCCTTCTCGGCCCGACGGGGCGCACCGGCTAGGAGGCGTCCGCGGAGGAAGGGGACACCCGAGGGGGCGAGCACGGGCGACGGGGTGCCCGCCCCGCCCCCTGGCCCCCTCCCCGACGCGAGGAGCTCGGCAGGCCTCCTCCTGCCGCAGCGCCCGGCGCTTCGCCTCGCAGGCCCCGCCGGCCGCTCACCCGGGGTCGCGGCTCCCTCGCGTGGAGGGGCCACCCACGCCGGTTCCCTGCTCCCCTCGCCCCAGCAGCGCCCGGCGTGGGTGGCTCGGACCCGGGCCGGGCCTCCCCCAGGAATCCTCGGGCATCTCCCGCGGAGTTGCTCCCGAGTAAACCATTCGCGTTCGCCGCCGGCGCTGCTTCCCGCCGCTGCTCCGTTTCAGAAGGGTCGTTGCCAATTGCTGCGAATAATTCTCATCAGAAGCTCGCAGAAATGACAGCAGCCGCAACAGCAAACGGAAGCATCATAATCGCACTGATTCTAAGGTGTACAGAGTGCTGACCACTTATGCCGGTTAAAATTGTGAGATTTAAGCGAAGGCCGCGCCGCATAATCATCCTCGCCCCGGAATTTCCCACCTGGCGCCTCCTTCCCGCTGCATTAAGTTCTAAATGTGGAAGGAAATTAGCATGGCGCGGAGAGGAGAGGATGCGCCGCACGGCGGGGGCTGAAAAGAGGGAGGGGCTGCGTGGTCCTGCCCCCCCCCCCGGGAGGCGCGCGCACCTTGCAGCGCCCCAAGGGAGCAGCGCCCGAGCGCTCCGAGGCCGAGGGCGCGGGCGCGGGGTCGGAGAGGGGCCCTGCCCCGGGGCGCCTCCCTTCCCGGCCGAGGACCCGGCCGGGGCAGGGGGTGTCCCGCACCTGTCCCCGCTGCTCCAGCGGGTTTGCTCCCCCTTGGCTACCAGCAAAACCGGCGACAGGGTGCCATTCACACGTGCTCAGCCTGGAGGGGGCGAGGGGAACGGAAAGCGGGAGAGGCGGTCTTGCCCGAAGGGTGCTCGGTGGGGCTGGGGGAGGGCGCCCCCCGCTCCCATCTGGGGCAGGGGCAAGGATCGCCCAAACCAGTCCTGTCACCTCCTCCCGGTGTCTTGGACTACAGCCTCCAGCCAGACCTGAAGCCTCTGAGGCATGATGGGTGTTGTAGTCTGACCATCTGCCCCTCCCTCCCAGCGTCAATCCATCAGAGAGTCGGGGAGGCTAAAGGCCGAGGCGATGGAGTGGAGCTGGTGGTCGGGGGGCCTTGGGGTGGCATGGCCAGGAGGCAGCCCCGCTCCTCTGAGCCCCCTTTCCTTGGGGGGCTCACCACCCTCGCCCCCACCGTTGACCATCCGCAGAGTGGGGAGGGCAGGTCCTGAGTTGCCTCCCCTGAAGACAGACCCCCATCCACTACAGGTTGGAATGCAGAAGGAGGGTCACTGAGCATGTGCCGAGTTCTACAGAGGCACCTGAGGCGAGGTGCAGCATAAGTCTCCTGAGGGAGGGGCTTCCTGGCAGCTCCCCCCCTGAACGGCCATTTTAGAAATTAAGCCCCGCCCCTCGCTCTGAGGCCGCTCTCCATTCTGCTCTCGGCTTTTTTACAATGGCTTTCCAGCGTTTCTGTGGCGCGGTGGTGCTGCCCAAGGGGTGGAGCACTGGCTAGGGCTGGGGAGATGCAAGGTCTCCTCTGGCCTCGGGTGCGAGGTTCACTTTGGGCGGCTCCTGACCCTCAGGGGTTGCTGCAAGGGCAAAAGGGAGGCGAGCAGGAATCCCGTTTTGTGCAGAAAACCAGTGGGCTGCATACTGAACGGATGAATGAATGCGGATGAATAAATAAATAAATAGAGACGCCTTGCCTGGAAATGGATCGCCGCCGCTCGACCATGAGGCAAGAGAACTGTCCCTCATAAATTCGGAAAAGAAAAACAGCAAGATGACCAGTTGGGCCCCTCCCCTGCCGCTACCCCCGGACCTTGTCTGAAGACGCGGAGAGGCAGGGAATATTGAACGCCAGGATTCTGAGCCTGAAAACGGTCCAGCAAGAGCTTTCCCGAACAGAACCCAGGATCGTGCCCTGAGTATGAGCCACAATGGCCAACAGAAGTGGTACAGCCCAGCCTTCAGGGGAGGACTCTCCCACCACACATGGAGGCTGGGCCTAGTGCTGTGCATTTCCCTCATCTTCTGGCACCCCCCCACCCCGGTGCCCGGGGAGGATCTGAGGTGGAGGACATGCCAGCCTGGGCTGCGCTGTGGATCGTGGGTGAGGATGACACAGACGGGGAAAGAGTGGAGCTGTGCCTTCGCGTGCCTGCCTTCGCTCAGGTTGCCCCACGCTCTCCCTACACGTTGGCTTGTGTGTCTGCTTCTTGGGCTTGGCTGAAGGCTGCCCCCCCTCCCGCAGCGAACGAGGGGGGACCAAAGGGCACATGGCTCGCGGTGGCGCTGGGAGGGAGCTGCTCAGGCCGAAGAACCTCCAACTTGGCCTTCCTCGACTTGAAAGAACTCCCGCAGGATGCCAACAGCAGGCGCCCCGTTCCCACGAGCAGAAACCACGTCCAGAGCCCCTGCCCAGGCAGCACTGCCCCAGGTCGGTGGTGAGAGAGCGGGAAATGGCTCCCAGTGACCCCCAAAGTGGAAACCGCGCCCATCAAGGAGACAGGTTGGCCAAGGATGGTTTTTTCTCCCACAGTCTCAGCGGGAAACATTCAGATGCACACAGATCAAGCTTGACTCTGCTCGCAAACGACAATAAGAAAGCCACTGAAATCTTGGGGGGGGGGGGGACATGGCAGCCTTCTCCCAGTCCCCGCAGGGCTGTCCCAGGGAAGAACACCACGTTCTCTTCCCTGCGGCCCCCAAAGCAGAATGCAATCCAGTGGGCTTCAATGGCAGGAGGGGAACTTGTGGTTGCCTCGATGCTGGAGAGCAGAGCCCGTGGCTTGGGGGCAGGGGGTCTCCCCTGCCAGAGCTGGGCACCCGTCTCTGGGGCTGAAGGGACTCAGTGAGGGGGGCCGGGCTGGACGCTCTCCAACTCGCGATTCCCACTGGGACTTGGACTGGGACCAGCTCTGCTTTGGGACTGGTTGGAGCACTCTTGGGGGGGGGGGCGATTCCTCTCCAGGCCTTCAGAGGCTCTTCCCAACCCAGCTGGCCTCTAGCACGCCCCAGAAAGATGGGAAAGGGGTTCCTGGTTAATGGGGGGGCATCATCCTGAGCCCTACCTGCTCCAGCCAGAGACCCGTGAGCCACAGATAAGCAAGAGGATCCTTCCTTTTCCTTTCTGGAAAGGGCCTGGGGGTTTGGTGTTGGCACTTGTTCGCCCCACAGCAGTGGCCCCCAACCAGCCCCCAATTTATGGAGGGGGCTTGAACGACTCCACCTTCCCTCTACGGAGCTTACTATTCCCCAGCCGGCTCGTAGGAGGCTAAGCTGGTGGGACGGGCAAAACGCGTGGCCGGCAGTGCTGCCTTCTCGCTTTCAACAAGGAGACACTGCAGAGGAGGGCAACAGAGAGACGCCTCGGAAAGAAAATGGCGAAGGGACCCACAGGGACAGCAAGGGTCCAGCGGGCAGGCCAGGTCCCCGGTATTTCTGGCAAACGCACGTTAGTTTCAAGCCCTCTCTCCACGCCTTTTTAGCAGGCTGCCTTGAAACTGTGGCCTCGCTTGGGCTGCTGGAACCCCAAGCTCACAGCGGCTGTGCGTGTGGCCGGAGAAAGGGGCTTGTCCGTGCACAAGGACGTCCCTTTCTTCCGTGTGCCACTTGTGGAGCCGAATCCTGGCCCTCAAAGATAAATCTAGGTTCTGGTGCTGAGCTCAGCCTCTGACGGGACCCTGCCTGGACGCCAGGTTGCAGCTTAAAAAAGCAGCCCTGGCCGTTTGGGGAAGGGGGGAGCCCCGGCCACTTCTTCCTCTCCGCAAGGCCTGATCTGGTCCGGCCAGCCCTGCCCGAGTGTCGCAAAGCACGTCCAAGCAGCCGGACGCAAAGGAAGAGCACGCAGGCAAGCGAGGGGGTGCCGCCTGCCCGTCTCCTCCCAGTTGAATAGGTACGGGAGGTTTGGATAAACAGCTGGCAGAGGGATAAGCAGAGGGGTTGAGGCATCGGGCTGGGAATTCCACGGCACCCCAACCTGCCTCGCCGCGGCTCGGGAAGGGAGTCACCGGGAGGCGCCTGGGTGGGCAGTGAGGGCCACGACCTTGGCAGCGCCCGCCGAGCAGCCACCTACCTGCAAGCGTCTCCCGCGCTGGCTCCCGGTCCCTGGGGCTGCAGAAGCAGGGCGCTCTCTCGGTGCTGTGCCCACGAGCGTGGAGTGGCCTGCAGCCAAGTCCTTGGATGGTCTTAGTCCAGGTGGAGCCACATGGGAAGGATGTGCGAGAGCAGTTGTGAGGGCGGGTCTCTCCGGTTTTCCCTCGCAGGAGGGTCTCGGCGCGGCACCCTCGTTTGGGGAGTCGCAGCTTCTGCCGGACCCTCGGCCGCTCTCTGCCTCCAAATGGTGGCCAAGATGGACTCAGATTAGTTGCCTCATTGGCTTTCTCCGTGGCCACGTGACGCCGT